GTCACATAGGCTATGTTGGATCACAAACTTCTCCACCCCTTTCTCTTTGGCTGTCTCTCACTGTTGACTCATGGCACAGTAACTTCACCCCACAGGTGCCCAAGAGCTGTCTCTGCTCCTCCACTCACCCTCAGCCTGCACAGCCCGAAGCTTCAACTCTGCGGTTGTGTTGGTCAAGTCCTGTTTTACCTGGAAGAGCTGATCCTGTTGGACTTTGCACTTCTTCTCCAACTCATCCACCTACAAGGAAGTTACCACCATAAAAGAGAAAATTTGAGTTTCTCCTCCTATCTCCTCCTATTAGCAGAACAAGTTGGCTGTACAGAACAATCAGCAGAGACACAAACAGGGGTCAAAGCAGAGGACATATACAAAGCAGAGGCAAGTAGTGTGCAAGTCCCACCTCTCGGCCTTGGGCTTGCTTTCCTACCTGGTTTCTTAGAAGCAGGTTCTTCTCACTGGCAGCAGACAACTCCCGGAAAAGCTTGCCTTCCCGATCAGCACCTTCCTGCAAACAGAACCAAAACTGAGAAGAACCTGTCACTCACTCACCTGAGTCCCTGTACTGCCAACCTACCCCATTCAACACCACACCCAACTAAATCCAATCCAAGCCACAAACGCTATGGCTTCTCTTAAGCCACCTAACGCACCTATCTAATTTACACAAGACTTTTTGTCATGCCCGTCATGGTTAACCCACTAGTGGTAAAAATCACGCTTGCCTCTCCCACCTGGCATCCCCCAAATCCACAAAACCCAGGTGTGATAATGACCTGGCGCTCAACTCTCAAACCTTAACCAGGACTTTTCTAGCCCACCTGTTTTTGCTGCTGGAGCTCCTTAAGGTGGCGCTCAGCCATGCTAGTTTGTTCCTGTTTCATGGCACTGAGCAGCTCTCCCAAGCTGTGCACCTTCTGCTCAGACAGAGCCAGGGCAGCTTCAGTCATCTGCAGCCTACAGAGACAAACACTTTCCAGAGAGTTCTCTCCAGAGGGACACTTCCAATGAGCTCTCTACACCACATGGTACAAGACATTAACACACATTTGGCAGTGGATTAAATCAGGATGACTAAAAGATGTATTTTTTGCCTCTGGGAAAAGGAACCCGACAACCTTTGCACGCAGCAGCCTCTGCAAACAATAACTCGGGACTTTTCAGAGCATGGTGCCCTGCTGTCTCATCCTCTTTTCCCTGTGCTGTTTTCTTTGCCTGGAGCCCTCTAGGATTTGCCCGCTCTCACAGGAGAACAAAGCTGGTTATGTTATACCATTGCAAAGTTACTTAAAATTAGGGATAGAATTTTAAATACAGGTATCAGAAGTGACTTGCTTACTCTCTACATGAGGGATATGTCCACACTGAAGCATGGCACAAAGAAACTACTTTGAGTTGGCAGAATTCAATTAACCAGGCTTGCCAGCATTTGAAGTCCAGTCACAGCCATTTGCACGTGGTTCAACACAATCTAACCCTACTTTTGGGCAGTTCCAGCTCACTGTTCCTAAACACAGAATCTTATTGGTCAGGTTTTTTTCATATCTGCAGTGGTCCTCAGAGGATACTGCCAACTGACAGGTGAAGCAGGACCATAACAGACTCTTTCCAGGTTGCAAACTGTGCAAGAAACGTGCCTGCAGCCCACCCCCACAATTCTTTTTCTCTCTTCATCCTCTATCATTCACACGCTCTTACACCAATGCACTCGATTTTTATTTAAGAACAGGCAAAACGTTTACTGTGGAAAAGCCAAAGGCCTGATCTGACCACAGCTTCTAGACATTACTGCAGAACTAAGTGGAATACTAAGCCAGCCGCTCTACAAGATTATTCCCTCTCTCATAGCTCAGCTCAGCACTGCCTACAGCACAGAACAGTGAGAAGGCTAGAGTTTTCCTCCTCCATACTTGGCTTTCAGTGAATTCATAATAGAGTGCTGCTCATCCAGTGCTTCCTGCAGCTGGCTGACTCGTGCTGCAGACATCCTGCATTTGGGAAAGACAGAACAAACAAAAAAGGGACTAAGTAGACGGAGAAGGCCCAATCCTGCTACCAAAGAGCAGAAAGTGCCCAGAAATTCAACTCACCTGCTGCTCCTGGTTATTTCTTCTCTCTGTTTGTCTATGGTGTCCATCAAATCCAAGAACTGTGAACAGGACAAACATTGGTGAGAAAATGAACAGCACCAGCTTGAAGCATTTACATTTCTCATCTTTATCTTTCTAACAACAGCAGAAAGCAGGTCAAGACACTTCTGTGAAAGAAACCAAACTGGAGGCTGGACAAGTCCACTACCAGGTCTGATTAAGGTCATCAACCACGGGGACTCTGCACCATTAGGTGTCAGAAGTAAAACAAACTTGAATTTATAGCTTTTTCACTTGGAAAACATCAGAACAGTTGCAAAAGAAGAACTGGAAGCATGAACATGGGTGAAAAATCACCAAACTCCTCCAGAATCCAGAGTGAACATGCTCGGCAGGAGATGTCTCCATAACACGCGTCATGGATTTGATTCTTGGGCAAACTAGCTCAGAGGAAGGACGCAATTTACTAAATAATGCTGAGTGCCTTCTAAAAGATGCCATGCAAATGCAGTTGCACAACATTCCTATCACTGAGTGGTTCATGAGGACACCAGCAGATAGCAGAGGATTCCAGCTGAACAATTTGAACTGCCAGCATGAGGAGATTGCTGACCTGCTTGGCCTTCTCATTCTTCAGACTCAGAACCTCCTTGCTGAGCACGTGGGTTCGACTGCGGGTCTCACTGAGGATTGTCTGACGGTCTTGGTTGTGATCCAAGGCTTGCTCTGATGCAGAGAGAGCAGGAGAGCATGTATGTTTCTATAGCAACAGAATAGCAAGCATTGCTATAGGAGACAGTGCTCAGAACGACACCGGGCTATCAGAAGCACCAGGACAGCAGCCTCTCTGACTGGCCTGTGTACAGAGACCACTCTTGCCTTAAGGACATAATGGAGGGGAACCAAAGAGAGCTGTATATATTGATTAATCAACACCCCAGCTACATGAGAACAGCTCAACTCCACTGCAGGTAGGGCAGTGACAAAGGACATGCTACATTAAGCTAATCTAAACTGACCATTGGCTACTCAGAGGCAAACTAGAGCCCCAAGTTCTTCCATGTTCACACAGCATAGCAGTCTTTAATTCAATCCAAGTTCTCTCTTCCTCTTTCTGGTAAAAGTGACATCTCCTACCTAACTAGCCCTCATTACAGGGCAAGAGGAAGCTATGCAGGGCACTGTGTATATGCTGTTGAGAAGGGGAGAGGGGGAGGGAGGGATGGTTCCCTTTTGGAGCACTAAATGCCCAATGTCCCTCTAATGCTGAGGTGGGAGGGGAGTTACTGATTCTTTCCCGTGCAACAAGTACTGCTTACCCACAGCCTTCAGGATGTCACTGGGAACATTGTTCCCAGCCAGCTCCAGCCTCTTCAGGGTCTTGTTGCTCTGCAGGCAGTTCAGCAAAGCTCGGCCACCCAAAAGTCCAATATTATTCCAGCGTAAATCTATACAGAAAGCAAACTTTCATCCTGGTAGTCACTCAAAATCTGCTGAAAGATACAGGGCTCAGTAGAAACCGTCCTTCTTACACATCTGCAGGCACGGCTAACTAATCCCAGAAGGGCTCAGCAGTGTCCCCTTTCAAGATGAACGAGAAGGGTAAAAAAGACTGACAAAGCAGAAATGGAGAGGATGTATCTTAAGTGCAGTTACGTGCAGGAAGCCGTCCCAACTTGACAGGCAAGCAAGTCATGCCCCTCACATCTTCACCTTGTGAACCTTCCTTCCACAAAGCACTAAAATCACAACCCACGGATCACAAAGAACCAGCACCAAGAGCCACATTTTCCCAGAGAAAATTCTGGCAAGATGCCTTACTAAGAACAAAGCAGGTGTAAAGTAAGTCTCAGAGCCTGGCATGAGGCATGCCAACAGGATTCACGGGAACAGGAATGAACCCATTCCCTCCTCCACTAAGAACTGTTCTGCTCCAAGCACATATTCTTCACCTGCAGGTTTGGTTCTAGAGATTCCAGTTACAGTTCCCATCCCTCAAAGGCCATGGGGCTCCGACCTCTGTTCCCTGCACAACGTCTGCAAAGCACTTTGGACTACGAAATGAGAATGGCAACACTGAGCAGTTTGCAGAGATCAGGGCAGGCTGCAATCAACTTGAACGTACATGTACGTTTTTGTGCGTGTTTGTGGGTGGACAAAATTAGTCACTCTTACCTAGCTCCTGCAGGCTGGCATTTTGTTTCAGTGCCATGGCCAGCTCTCCTGCCCCTTGATGGTTGATCTGGTTATTGCGCAGATCTAGCCGCTGGAGAAAGCTGTTTGCTCCCAGTCCCTGGCAGAAAAAGGAAAAGCCCTCCTCCCACATGCCCAGGCTGTTCCATTCCAAGATTAAGCTAGAAAAAAATCAGACAGGATTTTGGAGTTTGTTCTATAACCTAGCAGTTTTAAGAGACTGAATAATATTTGGATGGGACGCAGTACCTATTCAGACACCCAGCTCCCCCAACAGAGACTCAGTTTCAGAGAGAAGGGTGCTGCTAAGGCCCTGCATCCTCAGAAAGGGCACCTCCAGTTCTCACTCCTTCACCTGGCCCATCCCTCACAAGAGAGGGCATCACTTGACATTCCTCCTGCCCAAGGAAAAACACCCTCAACCCTCACCCCTTTCCAATTTTGTGCTCCACCTAACAGGAACAATAAAAAGAGGTAGGTGCAATTTTTTTTTACCTTCTGATGGATTTGTTCTGCCTAAGAAGTTTTCCCAAAGCCTCTGCTCCTACGATTCGCAGGTTATTTCCCTGAAACAAAAGTCCTGGGCAATCAGCGTGTTATGCCCTGTCCCAATCCAGCTAGCACAGCAAACAGCACCAGGTGCAGTTCAGCTGTAATGTTGATTTTGGTCTATCAAAGATGGCCTGAACAGCATTTGTCTCACACGTCAATGAGCTTTCCAGAAAGCAAACCCTCCTCTGGAGGAACGGTGGATACACACACACCATTAGTCTTATGAAGCATCACGACTAAGAACATTTGACTGGGCTCACAAAAGTCACAGGACAGCAAAGGATCAGCGTGGCCCACGACAGGACAGAAAATGCTGATTCTAGATGAGCAGAACCATTTCAACATGCTTCATTAAGAGGGCCTTGGCTAACACCAGCGCAGATGTGAAAGAAAGGTCTGATGCAGTTTATTACTACAGATGCAAAGTCCTGCAGGAACACAGATCAGAAAGACCCTCTCACAGCAAAGTAATCAACACATATGGAAGTGCATGCTTAGTTCCAAGCCGCAGGCTAGCAGAAAGAGACTGGTGAACTAACTGAATGAACTCTACAGAGGAGCAGGTCAGTCAACTAGTCAGTCAGTTTCTCTGGTTAACAGAGAAACTCAAAGAAAAGCCTACATATGCCTTATCTGACCAAGCAGCAACTGACATAAAATACACTGCAGTAGCTGCCTAGCGAAACAACAGAGCTGAAAAAAAACAAAACCCAGAGACAGAAAAGTTATCAGGTAACTTTTGGGCAGCTGTGACATGGTGGATAGGAGGAAAGGACCAAGTCACTCAAGAACTGGAAATTTACAGGACTGTACATGTTGCAGAACAATCCTGCACCAGGACTTTATATTCCTAACTCCCATTAAACTTGTGCTCCTATTCCCTTCCCTTCTTCTTTGTTTTGTCTTAAGCTTACTCTAACTCACCTTCAAATCCAAAGATTTGACTGTGGTGTTGGAGCAAAGCCCATGCAACAGAAGTTTGAAGAAAAAAAAAAAAAAGAAAGCTGTTTACTTCACATACGTAACCTTCTCCCTGAGCTGGAGGGAAAAGTGTCTTTTCAACCAGCCAGCTCAGGAGATATGGCTATGACAAAGCATCTCGCTCAGTGAACAACCAGTGCTGATGGGAAATGTAAGTCTGAACTCTCAGGGGTGGAGAGTATATATTCCTATATATAGGTGCCTATATAGAGGCACCTAGGCAGAGAACTGCATCTTACCCTAGGTACCTTCTTAACACAGCCCAGGTCCAGATAGACCACATAGACAAGATGCTCACTGGCTTACTTAACCTCTGTCCGTACAGCAGGGACTGAATAGAGAATCACCCTACTACGTCCTACAGAATCCTGATCCAACGTGTGCTGGAATTACTGATCTAGTGATTAGAATTAGCAGATTATCACTCTAATCTTCACAGCCTGTATCGGCAGCCACCACCAATGCCTTCTAGTCACAACTGCACAAACAGCCATGGCCTTGAAGGCAGAGGGAAAACACCTCTGGCAGCAAAGGGGTTCACGACCAGCTCCAAACTACGTGTCCTATTGTCCAGTCACAGGTCAGACGCGTTCGTTTGGTTGAAATGAGGAGCATTTCTTCTCTAGTCTGTCCTCTCTGCTAGCAGATGATTCCTGAAGACGGACAGTTATGGTTTTTGTTGCTATCAGGCCCCTGCTACCTCAAAGGCTGTGATACAGTTCCCTTGTTGCCTGCAGCCTGCCTGCGATCGGGTCTCCATTGCACCTTCGTGGTCGAACTCTGCCCGGTGGCTCAAGCCCGCCGGAGGGCCTGCACGCGCCCGTCCGGGCCGAGGGCCGGACAGCAGCCACCGAACGCGCTGCGGTTCCAGAGGCGAAAGCAGCTCCCTACCGCGTTCGCTGCGGGGAGCTTTTCTGCCTCGTGCTCGCTGGTCACCCGAGCAGGGC